AAATGAACTCAATCCAACTTGCAATTTGTTGAAATTTTTAGGTTTTCTATCGAATATTGAGAATAAAGTCATACTTTACAACCAAAAAGTCATAATATCACGAGAATAAAGTCATAATATTATGAAAATATACTCGTACTTTTAGGCTACATGTTATTTCAGAAAGGCAGCCTGCGCCAGTGTTAAAATTAATGGAGAATCTTATGAAACTACTTCAGCATAGGGTACACAAATAACGAAATACTTTTGGCACATCAGCACCACATTATCTAAGGATTCCACATCCTTTATTATGACTTTATACCCTTAATATTAAGATTCTATTCTTTTAAATCACAATTTTATCATTTGATATTATGACTTTATTCATGCTATATTACTACTTTATTCACGTAATATTACCACTTTATTTTGCAAGGCTACAGTAGCATCCCGAGTGTGTCCTTTTTAGGCACAACAAGAAAACACTAAATACAATCTTTCCAGACAAGGGATTAAAACATTTGTATGTACATTTGATAGAAGACATGAAGTAAAAAAGACGATTTTCCGTTGCTGATTAGATATAATCTGTGGACGTGTGTGCATGTTCGTGTGCTTGTGTGAGCAGTTGGAGGAGGGGAAGCTTTGGTTCCAGCTGGCCTGTGGCCTTGGCAGTGATGGAGGTGGAGGTGGTGACAGTCCCAATATGTTGCGGATCTCTGGCCGCCGTATCAGCGACGGCAGCTGGCACACTGTGGTACTGGAGCTAAACCGTAACTTCAGCAGCCTGGCACTGGATGACAGCTATGTTGAGCAACGCCGGGTACCACCGTTCATACAACCACTCTCTCCAGATAGAACCATCTACTTTGGAGCACTGGTCAGTCCACAAGTATTTGTAGCTACACTTTATAGGTTTTATATTAGATGCCACTGCCATTCATGTTAGGGCAGCTCACCTTTGGGGAATTCAGAGACACTTTCAGGTTTTATAAAATTATATTTAAGTACACCTAGTACCTAGAATATGGTAGAAGTGTAGTTGAATGCTGAATGTAAGTTTCTTTTAATCATTATATTGATGTGTGATCAATGTCTGTGTGCATTGCAATACAAGACACTATTTGCAGTTAAAATTCTCCTAACAGGCACAGCTCTTTGTTTCAATGACACAAATACAACATGATATGGCAATATCTGTCTCATCCACTATCATCTGTGTGCATGTATATTTATGATGGTTTCAAACTTAAAGATTAATAAACTGCTTCATAAGGAAGGAACATTTTAGAGTACATTTTATCCAGATTTCCAATTTTAATGGGTGTTTGTTTAATCTATACATTTCTCATCTCTTTCACAGGTGCAGCACCCCAACTCTCGCAGTCTCATGGACTCCCAGAAGGACCCTCGGGTGCTGGAGGGTTTCCAGGGTTGCCTGGACTCAGTCATGCTGAACAACAATGAGCTGCCGCTGCAGAACAAGCGATCTCGCCACGCAGAGGTGGTGGGACTGACGGAGCTGAAGCTGGGCTGCATCCTTTACCCCGACGCCTGCCTGCAGCAGCCCTGTCGCAATGGAGCCACTTGTACCAGCCTGCCCTCTGGGGGTGAGTAACAGGAAATGCAGCAGCTTTAATCGGCATTAGGCTTATTGATGCAACACTTATGTATTTACTGTTAAAAAATTCAATATGTTAGTTTTTCAACATGCCAATTATGTCAAGATAATTTTACATAGTGGCCCAAGAATAAAATTGGTTTAACTACAAAGGTGCTTCTCTTTAATTACATCCAAATAGAATTATGAGACATTATCTTCTTTCCTTTCAAGTGTGATCAGCAACTGATCGTTACACCCTACACTGAGTGGGTAAAGTGAATATAGCAGCCGCAGTAATAACACACAGCAGAGGTGTGTTTTTGTTAGCTATACTAGCCTACCTGCAGGTATACTGCTGTAAGATTTCCCACATTCCACATATTTCTTATTTACACTGTAATGAGAAAATCATCATGGAAATTGTTGCAGCCCACAGTTGTCATTTACACAGTGCTAGAAAGGTTGTGACTCTGATTACATGTCTGAGCCATTCCTTGTATATGTGCGTGTGTGCATACGTGAAGGTGTGTGTGTATGTATGTGTGTGTTCATTATGCTGTGTAGATGATTTCCCAAAGGTGTGATTCGTGCTTTGGCCAAGCATTAAAGTAAACAGTGCTCTGACCGCTCTCAATTTTTAATGAAGCTTTTGTCCTTGTCCTCCTCCTCCCTTTCTGACTACCAGGATTCTCATGCAGTTGTAACCCCCTGTACACCGGAGGGCACTGTGAGATGGAGATAACGGCCTGTGTTCCCAACCCATGTCAGAACAGTGGAGTGTGTAAACCCATTGGCAATGCTTTCCTCTGCAGCTGCAGAAGAGGCTTCAAGGGCTTAACGTGAGTTCCAGTCCAAACAGATAAATTATCTGTCTGAGATATCTGTCTCCACTGCCATAAATCAGAGACAATGCAATACAGAATAATCCTTTGGAAAATATACGTGCCTAATACTGTCTAAAAAGGTGGAGTTTCAGCTCTGTAGCCATATTTTGCTAAATCTGGGGCTCTCACTTTTTATACAGGACTTCTA